AAATCAGTGGGTGAAGTATCCATAAAAGCAAATTCTTGGTTTTGTATGGTATCTTCTATAACTGGTACCTCTTTTTGGAGCATCATAGTCTCATGCTTTGGAATTTTTGTTTTTCCTCTATCTGAAGATTCTGGGATAGTAGGTAAAGGTACAGAAATACTGAGTATTGGTATATGAATACTAAGTTTGGGAGAAGGAATTCATTTTATATCTAATTGGGCTAATTTTGATATTAACTGGTCCATTAATGTTTTATTATCTTCTCCTATATGAAATTTAGTTTTATTAAGTTCTGGAGGAGGTTTGAACAAAACTGCTTTAGAAATAGAAGGAGTTATTCCCTTAGTTTGGGGAGTAACTAATCTTTCTATACGCTCTGCTTGTTTTCCTAAAGATTGCATATATAAATTGGTATAATTATTTTGTTCTACTATGTGAGGTATTAGTTCTTGCTTTTTACCTATTTCTTTTGGTAGAACTTTATATGGTGTTGCAATAATATCATATAGGGATTGTGGTGGTTCCCCTTTGCTTAATGAGGTTATTACACCCTTTAGTATTATACTTTTCTCAGGAGGGTGTGTACTAGCAGTAGTAGTACCATCCGTACTGATGTATGTTTTCTCTTCTATTGTTTGAATAGTATTGAATTGAGGAATGTTAAACTTATATTGAGTACATACTTCTTGTAACCATATAAAAAATCCTTTTGTTTCTCTTTCTTTTTTCAAGAATTTATTATATTTTTTATGGAATAATTCTACTAACTTAGGTTGGAATGTTTTAAGATACCATTCTCTAATACCTTGATTTTCTGGAGCAAAATAATCTTATTGCATATAGGCAATATCTATTTTTTTCTTTTTTCTTGCTAATTTAGCAGCTAAATATTCTTCCATATATGCATCAATATTTATATCATCTTCCACTTGTAATGTAAGTATTAGAAATTCAGCTATGTCAGGTTCAGATGTATACGTGGGAATGACTACGTGATCAGCTGTTCGTTTGACTCCTTGTAATTGGTAGTCTGAAGATGTTGTAGGTATTGATGGAGAAGGAAGTATTATAACATCGGGAGTGGTATGACAAGATTTTCTAGCAGGTACTAATGGTTTTTTATTTCTTTTCCTATTAATATCTATATCATTCTGTACTATAGGCTGTTGAAATTTTATTTCAATATTTCCATCTTGATGTTCTATTATTTGATTGAGAATATTATTCACAGGTACTTCCCTGGGCTGGTTTGCATTTTGCAATGCCCATGATTGAGGTAGAATAATGTCGGACCAAGTAATGGTTTTAGGTATAATCGTATTTGATTTTTCTATATTAGTTTGGAATAATATAGTTTGATCCTTCTTATTGGTTTGCATAATATTAGGACAGAGAGTATTCATTACTTTATAATAAATTCTATATACTAATTCTAATATTTGAGTACCATGCGTCATATTAAATCTATGAGTTTTCAAATTTATAGTTAATATATCTAGTATATTTGGATCTGTTAATGGAACAGAAAAATTTGGAAAACAATTAAAATAAATAGGTCCACTACATAGACTGGATTCAACCATGTCTAGGAGTGAGTCCGAAAACTTATTGTGTCTTGTATCTCTTAGGTATACAAGCACTAAGGTGTTTAACCCTATACGAGTTAATGGTTTAATGGCTATTTGCATTAATCCAATGCGTATATATTTATAATTATTTTCTTTATGTTTTTCAATAATTTTTCTTGATAATAGTTGAAAGTCTTCTTGGTTTTGAAATACTGATAGACTTTCTTCTACTGTTTTTATAGCATAACCTAATTTGAATTTGAATGTTCCTTTTTGATAAATATCGTTTATCGGTACTTTAGGAATATTCCGATTTTGTATATGATGTTCAATATCATTTATGATGATCTCTTCCTTTTTTTTAACTCTTAAGGTTTGAGATTGAGTTGATGTATTACCTTTAAGATTCCTAATTCAATTTGCCATCTGTAGGTTGCGGATAACGACAATCTGGACGATCAAGGGTCCAGCGTGTTCCCCTAAGCGGCTCTTCCTGGCCTTGGCGGGTACTTTGCCTAAACTTTTCTTTTCGTCTCTTGCCTTAACTCTCAGACCAACTTTATTAGATGTAAATTTAGTTAGGTTTCTACAGTAATACTGTAACTTTTAACCCTTAACAGTTTACTATTTTCACTGTTTGGCTCTGATACCAAAACGCGTCCGCATCTACAGTGAAAACTTTTGATATTGTTTACAATAAGTATGTATATATTAAGCTATTATATTTTACTATTTCTTGTAAAATTTTATAATAATTGAGACAGAATAGGAGTATGCAAATGAAGGGTATGACTGATATATCTATTACTAACCACTGTGTGTGGTTGTGATTGCCTATTTTGATACTAAATACTATTTTGAATTGCATCAGATAGCATTACACTCTTATTTATACATCAATTTGTACAGAGTAGTACACTTGAAAGAAGATTGTAAAAATACACTTATACAAACTGTATACAAACAGACAAAATAAAAACAAACTGTAAAAGTAAAAAACTGTAAAAGTAAATTAAAAGAAACTTACATACAAACTTACTGCGTACATATGCAATAACTGGAAAAGAGTTTCCAGTGTTGAGGGCAATATGAAGCGAGAGAGTGAAGATTACAACCACACATGCTAGGAATATTTAGAAGAAAGAGAAGATAGAACCTAGAATTTAAGGTAAATTTTGTGATCTGGTATTCGTGAGCTATGTGGTCAGGATAGCTGTTACACTAGATGGAGCAGGTAGAAGACATAAGAGTAACTTTTGAGAGAGAGAGAGAAAGAGAGAGAACTTCTAAGAGAGATCAGAAGAGAAGAGAACTTTTGAGAAGGAGCTCCTGAGCGACCTACCTTCTTTGGGGAAGGGGAAGGCCTTATATAGGCGAGAGGAGATTTCTTCCTTGCGAAAGAAGCAAGAAAGGGTAAGGTCAAGACAAAAGGCGAAAAGAAGACGAGACGTAAAGAAAGATGCTGTAGGAGGAAGAAAACAAAAACCAAAAAGAAAAGCAAAAAGTTTTTTGTCTTTGTCGGCGGAAGTGGACAAAAGAGCATCGGGGAATAGTAAGTCTTTTGGCATCACATGTTGCTACAATGTTGGCAACTTTGTCGTTTTATGTCGGTGGGCACAGTAATGGCATCCTGGAATAGTATTGGCTTGTCGTTTATGTCAGTGGATGGCATCTTGGAACAGTAGTGGCTTGTCGTATATTGGTGACTCTTGTCGGTCATAATCTTGGCAGCAACTGGTCATGGTCTTTGGCTGCATTCATCTAGATCATCTTCTTCTTCGGGGTCCGTTTCCTTTAGGGGAAAGTATCTATTGTTATGAGCTGGTGATGATTGTACGGTCTCATCTGATGAGACCGGCTTTCTTCCTGCTTCTGCAAAGATTTCCTTCATTTGTTATTCAAGGGTTTCTTTGGAGGCATTAGGGTTTGTTTGTAGCATATTTCTCAAATATGTGGGGAAGTCAAAGGACGTATTGGCCGTATTATGTCCACTTGGACTGGGGTTATATATAGGTTTTTGTGGAGGTATGCGTTTGGGAACTATGGTTGTGGGATCCATATTGAAGATATCTCACCATTTTACTGAGATGCTTATATATATATATATATATATATATATATGTGTGTGTGTGGTTAGTAAGATGTG